CGTGCAGGAAGCTTACATCAACCATGCCAACACTGTCCTGGGCCGGGATCCCGTTCCTCTGCTTGACCTGAGCCACCTCACCAGTGGCATTGCCGGCGCTCTCTATGGCTCTGGTGCTCGCGCCACGAGCCCTGGCGCGAATGCGGACACGGATGGGAAGAAGAAGCGCAAGCGCGCTCCCCCGGACCCGAACGCTCCCAAGCGCGCCCTCACCCCTTTCTTCCTCTACATGCAACACAACCGTTCCGTCATTGCTAAGGACTTGGGTCCCAACGCGAAGCCCAAGGAGGTCTCCGATGAGGGTACCCGCCGCTGGGCCGAGATGGAAGAATCCGAGAAGGAGGTATGTTGCCACCCCGTCTGCCCCTCGCTATCAATTCCCTCGAGAGAACTAGACTAATAGTGCTGGACAGATCTGGAAGAAGCTTTACGCGGATAATTTGGCTGAGTACAGGAAGAAGGTAGTGGCTTACAAGGCTGGACTGCCCTATGAGGATGACCTCAAGGCTGAAAACCAGCTGCACCAAGGCATGGAGACCGGCGAGCCCTCGGATGAGTCGGAAGAAGAGGAAGAGGAGGAGGAAGAGGAAGAGGAAGAAGAGTCCTCCCCGGAGCCTGTTCGGGAGCCCACTCCGCCGCGCAGCGGTAAGCGCCGCCGCAGCGAGGGCAAGCCTTCCCAGACCAAGGACGCCGCGACCCCCAGCGCCAGGAAGGAGTCTCCTGAGAAGAAGAAGCGTACCTCTGCCCGGAAAGAGAAGGAGAAGGAAGATGAGCAACCCCCTGCCTCAGCTCGCAAGACCGCGAGCGCCGAAGCCAAGCGCACCAAGAAGAAGCGCAAGAGTGAGGTTGGCAATGAGGAGTAAGTTCGGTCCTGAGGGATCGGTTTATATCGGGACGATGACCATGTATATGGGATGGATGTTTGATCTGAATGCTGCATGTAGCATATGGGGATTGGATCTATTTCTGGATTGATGCGCTTTCTTATGGAATGTTGTTGCTGTTGCTGTTGCTGTTGCTGTTGCTGCTGCTGCTGCTGGGTTTGTTTTGCGGGCCTGATGTCAACGGCGTCTGCGGATTGACGGGTGTGGGGTTATTAGTGGGTGTGTTTGTCTTGTTCTTTCCATTTCAGTTTTCATCATATTTTTTTTCTCATGATTTTGTTTTTTTCTATTTCTGTTAGCTTTGAGAATTTATAAGAGCTTCTTATGAACGTGATAAATGTCAATGGCCGGTGACTGCCGATGGAATCCACAGTTTTGACTGGAAAGCGTTAGTCACTCGGCAGACGCGCCGCTGCGATAGGTCATCCGTTGGCTTATCAGCTCGAGCTTCGACTTTCCTTGCCCGCCGCTTATCGGCAGCTCATCTTTCGTTCCCCACATTATTTCTCGTTCTTAACCTGGAATTTCCCCCCCGTGGTGGTCCATCTGCGTAGAGTCCCCAGTCGACAGCTCTCGCCCTCTCTCTTGTACCCACGGGGTAATTCTTGGCTGCTGCAGTGTCCGTCTCGCCATTCTGTCGCCGTGAAGGGGCGCTGCGACTATATTAGGTAGATAGACAAGAACCCGCTGCCCGCTGCTATCAACCATGCATTTGGTACCAAAGGAGGTCTGTGCCCATCTCACCTCCTCCCAAAGTCTAGGTATACCCAAGCTGACCAGTATCGCGCCTCTCTAGCTTGACAAGCTCGTCATCTCCCAATTGGGATTCCTGGCCCAGCGCCGTCTCGCACGTGGTGTGCGACTCAACCATGCGGAAGCTTCGGTACGTTGCCAAAAAAAAAAAACAATTCCCTTGTAGAGTTGACCCTCGATTGACGAGGAGCAGCGGCTAACTCGCATACCTTTAGGCGTTGATTTCATCCAACCTGCAGGAGGTAACTCATTCTCTTGAGGCTTGCTACCTTTCTCGTGACTTACCCTCATGCTTGCGTAGTTGATCCGTGATGGAGAGTATTCCGTGGCCGATCTTATGTCCATCGGCAAGACAATGCTGGGTCGCCGGCACGTCCTCCCCTCGGTTGTCTCGACCCTGGTCGAACTGCAAGTCGAGGGAACCTTCCCGACGGGCACCTACCTTGTGACCGTGCATCACCCGATCAGCAGTGATGACGGGGACCTGGAAAAGGCGCTCTACGGAAGCTTCCTCCCCATTCCGCCGGCTGACGCGTTTCCGGACCCGGACCCCGCCGACTACACGCCCGAGAGCATGCCCGGAGCCATCGTGCCGGTCCCGAACAGCCGCATCACGCTCAATGAAGGAAGGAGGCGCATCAAGCTCAAGGTTATGAGCAAGGGTGACCGGCCCATCCAGGTCGGCTCCCACTATCATTTCATCGAAACGAACCCGCAGCTGCACTTTGACCGCCTCCGTTCGTATGGATACCGGCTAGACATCCCCGCCGGCACGTCCGTTCGGTTCGAGCCGGGTGACACCAAGGTCGTTACGCTCGTGGAGATCGGGGGCCACCAAATCATCCGAGGAGGAAACTGCCTGGCTTCTGGCAAGGTGGATCTCAGCCGTGCTGAAGAGATTATGATGCGCTTGCAGGCAGACGGATTCGCTCATGTCTCCGAACCCACTGCGGACGCCGCGCTTGTGACGCCCTTCTCCATGGAGCGGGAGGTGTATGTGCGCATGTTCGGCCCCACGACCGGAGATTTGGTGCGTTTGGGGTTGACCAACCTCTGGGTACGTGTTGAGAAGGATTACACGACTTATGGAGACGAGTGCACGTTCGGTGGTGGCAAGGTTATTCGGGATGGGATGGGCCAGTCTTCGGAAAAGTCCACTACGGAGTGTCTGGATACGGTTGTCACGAACGCGCTGATCATCGACTGGACTGGCATCTTCAAGGCCGATATTGGTATCAGGGAAGGGCTTATCGTTGGTATCGGCAAAGCTGGAAACCCGGACATCATGGACGGCGTTACGCCGGGTATGGTCATTGGCTCTTCGACGGATGTGATTGCTGGAGAGAACAAGATCGTGACTGCTGGTGGATTTGATACGCACATTCACTTCATCTGCCCTCAACAGGCGGACGAGGCACTGGCTTCTGGTATCACGACATTCCTGGGTGGAGGTACGGGCCCCTCGACCGGATCCAATGCCACCACCTGCACCCCTGGACCCACGCACATGCGCCAAATGATCCAGGCGTGCGATCGCATCCCGATGAACATCGGTATCACGGGTAAGGGTAACGACTGCGGTGGCGTGAGCATTGAGGAACAGATCAAGGCGGGTGCTGCAGGATTGAAGCTACACGAGGACTGGGGCTCTACGCCCGCTGCGATCGATAAATGTCTCGAGCTGTGCGATGAGTACGATGTGCAGTGCATGATCCACACCGACACACTGAACGAGTCCGGTTTCGTCGAGCAGACGATTGAAGCCTTCAAGAACCGCACGATCCACACCTACCACACGGAGGGAGCGGGTGGCGGCCACGCCCCGGACATCATCTCGGTGGTGGAGCACCCCAACGTCCTCCCCAGTAGCACCAACCCGACCCGCCCATTCACCATGAACACCCTGGACGAGCACCTCGACATGCTGATGGTGTGCCACCACCTGTCCAAGAACATCGCGGAGGACGTCGCCTTCGCGGAAAGCCGGATCCGCGCGGAGACGATCGCCGCAGAGGATGTCCTTCACGATCTCGGGGCCATCAGCATGATGTCCTCCGACTCGCAGGCCATGGGCCGCTGCGGCGAGGTGATCCTGCGGACGTGGAACACGGCGCACAAGAACAAGGCGCAGCGTGGGTTCCTACCCGAGGACGAGGGCACGGGGGCCGACAACTTGCGCGTCAAGCGCTACGTCAGCAAGTACACGATCAACCCGGCCATCGCGCAGGGGATGGCGCACATGATCGGCAGCGTTGAGGTGGGCAAGATTGCGGACTTGGTACTGTGGTCGCCCAGCTCGTTCGGCACGAAGCCTGCGCAGGTGCTGAAGAGTGGAATGATCGTGATGTCGAAGATGGTAGGTCTTCACTTTTCGTTTTGGGGGTCATCAATCAAACTGACAACAATCCTAGGGCGACCCCAACGCTTCCATCCCCACCGTGCAACCCGTGATCATGCGTCCTCAATTCGGCGTAAGTCTTTCTTGTGGCCTATGTGATAGTAAGCTAATAGCCCCATCAGGCCATGGTCCCCAGCACCTCGATCATGTTCGTCTCGCAGGCCTCCATCGACGCCGGCGTCGTCCAGACCTACGGGCTCCAGAAGCGGATCGCGGCCGTCAAGAACTGCCGCAACATCGGCAAGGCGGACATGAAGTTCAACGACATCATGCCGAAGATGAAGGTCGATCCGGAGAGCTACCGCGTCGAAGCCGACGGGATGCTCTGTGACGCGGAACCGGCGGAGACTCTGCCGCTGACGCAGGATTACTTTGTTTACTGATTAGTCCGGTTAGAGGAAAGATGGTGATGGTGGTGATGATGATGATGATGATGGAGATAAAGACCGCGGATAGGATTATACCTAGTAGTGTGACGAGTTTCCTTGATGATGCAGTGATACCTTTTGGGTTCTCTTCTTTGCTTGTGTGGTTTGTTTTTTGTTGGTATCCAGACTAGCCTTTTTTTTGTCGTTCTTGTGTACAGACTCTTGGCCTGTTCTCCACTGTTTACTTCTTTATCCGGTGGCGAGGCTTATAGGGGAGGGGATTGCTTGTGGGTGGTTTCTGGTCTAGGAATTGTGTAGATGCCCGCTAGGAGGGGAAGGGAGGGAAGGTAATGGAAAAAGTTGGTGTAGGTAAATGCCCACGACAGCGCATTACCCATGCACTTTGCTTCCCTTCCAATCTACTTTAGGTAATGACAAACATCTGGTCACTTCACAAAGTTACTAGTAATTATATGGACATGTCCCAAAGCCAATCCCCAACCCTACGTATGCTACATTCTGACCCAACAATGGGAATAACATCCACAACAACACACTGACCTCCCTTCCCCCCTCTTCCCTAACATCTTTAGAACACGCGTATCTAAAACCCCTAGAGCACCACCCACCCATTCCCCTCCCCTTCTAGAAGAGTCGCCAAAGAAACAAGACTAAAGCTCCATCTCAACCTCCGAATGATTATTCCCCGTCGACATCAGCGCCACGGCCGTCGCCCACGCCTCGTAGCTATCCGCCTGCGCGGCGCGGTAGGCGTCCTCGCGCCGGGTCCGGGTTTGGGTTCGCTTGCGGCGTTTGGGTTTGCGCGTTGGCTGGGTGGTGCTGGTGGTGCTGGTGGTGCTGGTGGGTCGGTGGCGTTTGGTTGGGGGTTGTTGGATGGGTTTGTCGTTGTTGGTGGTGGATGAGGTGGAGGGGGATGGGGAAGGTGATGGGGATGTTGAAGGTGAGGGCGAGGGGGAGGTGAGAAGGTCGTCGATTAGGGTTTCGGAGTGTTCTTCTTCTTCTTCTTCTTCTTCTGGGGAGGAGGTGGGGTGGGTTTGGATGTCAGAGACGGGAGTTGTTTGGAGTTGGGTGTTGGGGGAGGTGGGATGTGGGTCTTGCGGTTGGACTTGGGGGTTAGTGGTTGTTGTTGTTGGTGGTGAGGGTGTGGTGTCTGTGTCTGTGTCTGGGGAAGGGGGGATGGTTTTGTTGTCTTCAACGAAGGGGTCCCCGGAGGAAGGGTTTAGCTGGGCTGATTGTGGGAGGTCGTAGTCGACAATCTCATCGGAGGCCTGCTCGTTGAGAGTCGGCCACGACGATGGAAGGGAGCTCAGGTTGTAGGCTTCGCGTTGGGAGTCGGGCATGGTCTGGAGGAAGGTCCATGCTTGTCGGATTGTGTTGCGGTGGGTTTGGGCTGTTTGGGGTGTTGTGGGGGAGATGATGGGGGGCTGGGATGGCGTGGTGGTGGTATTTGGGTGGGGGAAAGGAGTGGGATTGTAGGTGGTTTCGTTGATGGTTGCGAAGGAGGAGGGGAGGTTGAGTTCTTCGGTGGAAGATGCCGAGGAGATGGTGGGATTTCTGTGTGGTGGATGAGGAAGTGATGGCAGTGACGACGATGGCTTGCGTGCTTCAAACTGCTGAGTGTCGAGTGTCATGCCGGATGACTGTTGGCTTGATTGTGGGGTGGCGGAGGGAGCTGCTTGCCTTGACCGGTTCCTTCGATGGACAAGCTCCTCATCGTTGGAAATCATGTCGCTCATCACCTGGTCGTGAGCGAACTCGGTACCTGAGCAGAGGTGGCCGAAGAGGTTCTGCATGGAGATATCTTCGGTCCAGGTCACTGGGTCGACGGTGCAGGGGTGGATGTCTTTCGGTTTGAACGCGGCAACAAGATCACACAGTTCCGAGTACGAGGAGTGTCGGGAGTAGGGGAAGCGCTGGCCTATTCGTTAATCAACGCCAACGCAGCGATATCGGGTGGGATCTTACGATGACTTTGGGAAGCGCCTCGCCTTCCGTAGGGTGCTCGTCACCCGGCAATTGTGTTTCCTCAGCACGGCCACGGCCTAGCATCTTGACCAGCTTCTCTAGAGGCATCTCGTCTGCGTCCTTCAATCCAAAGCTGTCCAGTGGTAGCACCTTTCTTTTCGACTCGAATGCCTCGATAAGAGCCTGTCGAGTATGCGATAGTGCCTGGGTGTCATGGATCCGCTCGAAACAGAGCTTCTCCAGCTGCTCCATGGCAGACTTGTCGGGCAGCTCGAGCTCGTGGATCTGATACAAATCACCCCCTCCTCCCCCCGCCCCCAACTCGGGCATCTCGGCGCCGTCCTTTGTCCGGTTGACCACCGGCATGATGTAAACGGTGCCCTTCGACCTCGCCACCGAACACTGCACGCCGGGCTCGCAGCTATGTATTCGAGCGCGCTCGTCCTCGCTTAGACAACCTGGAACGAAACGGTTTCCTAAATCAAACCCACAGAGCGAGGGAACCTCGTTGATGCCTCCTTCCACCCGTGAAAAGGCAAGCGACCTATAAAGGTCCATCTGGTATCGATCGACGTGAACCTTGCCAGCTTAGCATCATAGACAGTCCTCATATCCAGACAGGCAGAAGTACCTTGGACTGGAGCGCCGCAGAAAGAGCCATCCAGACTTCTTCGTACCCCAGGGTCCATGCACGGAAGTAGAATGTCGTGTTCTCAGGATAGGTCTCGACCTTGCGCAGCAATTCGGCCAAGCCTTCCGCTTTCGACGGGAATACCCGACAGATATGGGATGGACGGGCAAAGGTGGTGTCGAGATAGATCTTGTCCAGCTGCCTGGTCCCCAAAGTGTAGGGGATCAAGATCGGGTGCCGGATGATGCCGTTGACCCACCAGGGTTCAGCTACATCGCAATGTCAGCAAGCGAGGAGAATATCCCATTGAAGGACGGACACACCTCGGATATCACCAGTGTACAGGATGGCCTTCCCATCGCCTTCGATCAGAAACATCACTGCACCGGTGCAATGGTTCGCATCGAGGAGGGTGACCCTGATGGACAGCCGTGGGGTCAGGTCGATCTCTGTTGGCGTGTTTAATGGAATAGGCCTCTTCATCAAGCGAGTCAGCAGTCTAGGGCAGGATAGGGCTCGTCGAGCGCAAATACCAGCAGCTTGGACAGGTGCTTGTAGTGCAGTCTGCGCGATTCGAGAATGCCTTTACTGAAGTTCATCCGATGAGGATACTTTTCGAGCCGTAGGAGGAGCTGGCCAAACCGTAAGCTACTGCGCCAATGGGGTCTTCAAACGTGTCTAATCACCTCGCGTGTGGCTGCTGAGCAGTAGATGAAGGGCGCTCGGAAGGACTCGAGTCCCTGCAGGTGGTCACTATGCACATGGCTCAGGAAGCAGACCAGCGGAGGAGGTCGGTCTGGGCTCTTGCGGAAGTAATCGACTGGCAATGATCCTCAGCATCGATGTTACTCATTAGGGAGAAGGTTGGTTGCAAGATGGTTTACTTTGTATATAGGGATATTCTACTCGACATCAGATTTGCTCGCATTGATCTATTGCGTGGTGTCCACCACCAACCTTGGACAATCCCATCAAAGGTAGACATGATCTTCACTATCCTCCTAAGAATCGGGAAAATTTACCCTAGGGTTTCATGACCATTATATATGGATGAAGGGCGAGTTACTAGAGTCTGTGCTGTGCGGAGACCAAGGGAAAAGAGGAGAAAAGAAAAGGCAGAGAAAGAAGCAAGTATGACGGGTGGTAACGTGACTGGGCATTTTCATGGATGGAGCAAGGAAAGAAAAGCACAGGCAAGTCCAACGTTGAATGCTGCACTCGACGCATTACTATTGCTTACTATTATTACTGCCTTACTTGAAGGCCAACTCGTTGGCTCTGCTGCAACAAACCTCATCAACACCAGCTGTTACTCCATACTTTTAAGGCAATCCAGATCATACCGCCTTTTTGACCCCGGGCCCCATTTTTACCCTTTCGGACATTGTCTGGCCCCGTCGATTGTCTCAATCCCATCCGCCAAACGGGAACGAAGAAAGGAGATATTTTTCAAAGAAAGAATCAATCACGAAAAGACAAAACAAAAAAAACAAAAATAAAAAGTCATAACGCTGGCCCAGAATCCTCCTCGATTCGAGTACCTATATGGACTCGGGCAGTCCAAGTGGCCTTGCAGTTGAACCATTGAACCTCTGTGAGGCGAGTGGGCGACAAGATCGGAGTGAGTGCCAGAACGGACCCGCCCGCCAACGCAGGGCTGGTGTGCCATGCTATGCCATGCCATCATCATCATCATCACCACCACCACCGACGTGAGGCGGCCAGAGTGTCTTACACAATTACGGTGATGGATCGACCTGTTGTCATCGATTCAGGCTTGGCTACGAGTCCACGCAGTCGGTCTCCGATGCGATGCGCTGGTCAGTCGCCTGCGTGGTTTCGTCGATCCCAGAGTCAGCCGACTGATTCAGAGTTGAACGGCCGATAAGTATAAAAAGGTCAACCCAGGTCACACAGGCGCTTTTCCTCGTGAATTTCTCTTCCTTTCGTCGTCCTTCGATCACCAGCAGACTTACTTCTCCTCTGCGTCTCCTCTGCGTCTCCTCACCCGAATCAGGGTAGCCTTAAATTAGACCGCATTCCACTAGAATGGGCCCGATTCCCCATCGTTTCTGATCGACAAGCGGGACGGATTAGGCTTCTAGTTCTAACGGTACCTGAAGCCAAGGCGTCGGGTGGTACGTCACATTATTATTCGCCTCCAGGAAGAGTCGCTCCCCTTCTTTCCATTTGGGAATATCTCCGATAGATCATAGAAGGGAAAAAGGAAGGGAGGGTCGGAGAAGAGAGTTGACTCCGTTCCTCATCAACCGGGCTCTCGGATCGCGTCTTCCCATTGTTCTTCGTTCATACCTCAACTACGCCTCGACTGCAACACCTCCAATCCACGTGTATGGTAGGGATTCCATGCAACCATCTCGGAGAGACATGCCGGCTCGCATTGTTCTCCTTCATTAGAGACTGTATGAGGACGGAGTGTTGGCTGAAACCTTGACCAAGTCGGGCTTGTATCCACGCACCTCCTGTCTCCTATTCTAGGCTTTCTAGCCCATCTTCGATCGCTCATTCCGACCACTACTATTGTTGATCGACAATCTCCGGCTACCCCCTTCCGCAACCAGATACATCTCTGGTATCTTCCTCACCGTCTGAGCATTCCCCCTTCTCGCTCTCATTCTTTGTCCTCCTCATCTCACCCCAGTATCCGTGCACTCTGTTACCCCATATCTGTCCTTAGGGTCATCTTCTTTATACCCTCTCCCACCTCTCCCGCCCTTCACCGCATCTCTCCTCCACTACTTGCTTTGTACAACTTTGCGTACAACCCAATCCTCGCCACTTATCCTCAGTTTTCCGCCTTGTCCGATTCGAATTCCATCAATCATCTTCAATATGCACAAACCATCGCTGGCTCAAATCGTGCACAGCGCACTGTTCCCACGGCCGCGTGCGAGCGACCCGGCAACATTCTCAGTTCATATCACCCGTAATCTGGTCCCAGAAGTCCGCGTTGAAACGTCCACTTTCTATGGATCGCTCGACTGCATCGAAGCTCAATATCCGGGACTAGACTACTCACATGGCCCTCACCGCATGAGGCTCAGCCGGTTTCCCTGGCACCGCAGACTGTTCCGGGCCTTCGATGAGTTGGGCCTGACAGAGGCGGAGATCTCGTCCCTCTGCCGCTGGGAGGGAACCAAGTCAGCTCGTGAGCGATATGAGATCGAGGAGGGCGTGAAGGTACGCGACACGACTGCAGATAGTATTCGACCCGCATCCCCTTCTCCTCTTCCGTCCGTCGAAGTGCACTACGAGGACGGCCCGGAACCCGCCAAAGAACCGGAACGCAGAGCAGAGATGCCGATCCCCGAAGTTCGCACCCCAAGCGACGTCATTGATGACCGCGGCATCGACTGTATCCTTGAAGAAACCGTCGAGGAAGATTACAGCGAGGATGAAATGGAAAGCTGCGGGGTGGAGCTGAACCATCGTCTACTGGCCGCAAGCGCTGCGCGCGAACAGGGTGCCAATGTACCACTGGACGAAGACTGGGAACAATGGTTGAAGGAAGCCGGGGAACGAGGAAGCTATACTGACGTGGTGAATGCGATTCGAATGGGTCAGCCCTTGGGATACCTATACGACATACCATCCTCGATGCCTCACATGGGTCGAGCAGGCATTCGCCCCTCCAGCTCGCTATCAGAGCCTTTCACACTACCATCGCCATCCACTTTGCTCGCTTCTCGACGAGCAGGAGGCCACACCCCCTCCCGAGCTGCTCGTTAGAAGAAGAGTATGCCACCAGAGGAAGAAGAGACTCTGATATTGTTCTTTTGTTTTTCGGATTAGCGAATGGGCTTGGCTGTTCTGATCGATGCATTTTCAGCGCTCCGGTGGACAGGCGTCTTCAAGCGTTCTATTTCTCTTGACTGGTTGTTCATAGATCTCCTTGGTTTTTGTTCCTGGTGTGAATCTGCCCCTCAACAATGTTTAATACCCGGACCAACCTGCTACTTATGTTGGGCATAGATACTTATTGATTGTTGAGGATCATAGTTTAATTACAATATACACGATATTTGATAGACAGGAGGGTGGCCCAAGTGACTCTGAAAAATACAGTGTGTAGTCAAGTCCATCGGGCGGAAAAGGTTCTCCGCGCCGCGCCTGAAGTTCCCCGCGACTCCCCGCGACTCCCAAAGCTCTCTTGCACCTCATCCTCCTTCCTTTCCCCGGCTTTAACCAATGTCGTTCTTCGCCCACTTTTTCGGGATCCGCGCTCGTTAAAAGGTGCTTGGATCTCTATGCAGGATGGGTTGAGTTTCTGTATAATCCTTGCTTCTTAGCCATCCCCAACTCCTCATCCGACCACCCCCTGTTCTCCCCGCACCCAGTGTCATCATGATCAAAGCCATCTTCTACAGCAAGTTCGACACCCAAGAGGGTAAGCTAGCCTTGAGAAACTCAACTTGCTGGCAATGACTGATTTCATCTAGGTCCTAAGGTCGTCCACCAGGTCCCAGACGGTGCTATCGTTCCCTCCGCCGCCGCGCCCTCGCAGCCCCCCTTCCTGACCTTCTCCGACATCTCCTTCTTCGTGATCCCTCGGCAAGAACTTTGCGGAAACCTGATTCAGGTTTGCACCAATGGCTACCGTATCCTGGGCTACCCGATCTGTATGAAGTCGCTCCGCTATGACCGCAACGAGTTCATCTTCAACTTCTGTGTGGTGCTGGCGGAAGAGGAGGATTTCAGCACCTACAAGAGTGTTGTGCAGAAGCTCGCGGATCTGATGCACGGATTGGAGGAACAGAATGGATTCTTGTCCAGAGATCATTCAAAATCCGGCGAAGGCAAGGTATATAGCTTGTGCGAGACTTTGATGGAGGACTTGAACAACTACTGCGAATGCATGATCCCTATCGGTACTTCTTGCCCCGCGCTTTACGCCGCATGCGTACTCCGACTGCACAGAGGGATGCTGACGGTCATCCAGACGAGCTGAATACCCTCAACATCAAACTTTTCCCAATCTATCCGGCTCCTCCGCCAGTCAAGGCCTGGCAGGTCCCGTTATTCACGGTCCGATATCAGACGTTCATGGATGAGAACTGGGATCTGACCATGCAACGTGTACGTCGCATTTTTCTAACCACCCCCAACATAGCATAAGCCTGACCAACGCTTCGTCCAGATCGTGCCCCACATCAACGGAGTCAACAGCGTACGGATCATCTCAATCCTAGCCGATACCGACTTCTCCCTAACCTGTCGAGCCATCCGGCACCTCCTATACTACGGGTGTCTCTTTCTGCTCGACATCTTCTCCTTCTCAGCGATCTATGCGCCTACCGCGCAGTTCAGCTCGACCATCGCCATGGACGAGGACATGCAACATGAATGTGCGCGTTACGTCAACACCTCCTTTGCCTCGCCCGTCACTGCCGCATCCGCCGCCCTCGCCGCCGGCTCCGACCCGGACGCCGTCTGGCCGCCGGTGGGCGACGTGCTCACCACCAGCAGCGCCAGCGTGACCGCGCCCAGCCGCACCCCAAGCCCGACCCTCCTCTCCAATGCCGTGATGGCCACCTCATCCAGCGTCACCGTCACCCCCAGCCCGGCCGCAGTAGCTGCCGCGGCCGCAACGTCCGTATCATCCGAGCCTAACCCTGGCACCTCCCAAACCCGCGGACCCTACGAGAACCGCCCGGTGGTAGACGGCGCCGGTCTGGTCTCGCTGTACGCCAGCCTCAAACAAGGCCAAAACATCAAGCAATGGTACCTCCATCACAGCCGCGAACTCTCGCACATCGACATCCGCCGCTTCATCACCTTCGGCGTCATCAAGGGCTTCATCTACCGCGTGCACAAATACGCCGTCGCCACGGGCCAACCGGCCCCCCCACTCAAAGCCTCGGCCCTCTCCCACAATTACCACTACCACCACAACAACACCCAGAACAACCGCCACCACCACCACCACCATCAAAGCCCCGCAATCACCCCCGCAGGCGGGGGAACGCTCCAGATCCCCATCTCCAGCGGCCCCTCCTCGCGCGGCCCCGGCACGGGCACGAATTCCCCGTACGCGTCGAGCGCAGGCGACGAACCGGCGCCGATTGCACAGCACAGCCAGCACCAGCACCGCCAACACCATCACTCAGATGGACGGGAGCACTCGACCTCCGTACACAGCGGAAGTCGTCCGGGGACGGTGGCGACACTCGACAACAACGAGGACGACGAGGACGAGGACGAGATCGACGACAAGACGCTCTCCAAGTATCTGGACGGGATGCATTGTTTCGATCAGATCTGCACGGAGCTTGAAATCAGCGAGCGCGAGCTTACGGCGCGGTTGAAGCGGTTCCCCGGCGAGGTGTTGATTATCCATCGGTGACCCGATCCTCGCGAGGGGGAGGGGATGTGGTTTGGTGGGAATGTATTGATACCCTGTGGTTTTAGATTATACGTCGTATGCAGTAGAGACGACGAGATCATAGACACTTTGCAAAGAGTGGTCACTAAGTTACAGCTAGCCTACAGTACCTCTCCCGCGAGGCTAGAAATAAGCTATGATACGATGCTCCTAGCCATGTGCTTACTGACTGTAACTGAGCCTTGAGAATGTTTCTTCTATCAGCGAAGAGAATACGAACAACGCCCTCGTGAGCGACCCGACTGACGCACAGTAAGCCACAGATGTCCATGTAGATAAAAAAAAAAGAAAGAAAAGACCCTCATCTCGCCCGCGTAATCATGTCATAACGCCCGACCCGAAATCCCGTAATATCCCGGAAAGGAAGGAAGTAAACTCGCTGCAAGCCCCATGACCCGGGAGAAAAGAGGAAAACCCAAATAATCGCGTCATCTGATAAGACAAGACCCCCACCGTGATTCGCTCAGCGAAGCCCAAGATAGATAAGAAAAAGAGAATATACGTCAAACATGCATACACCGACGTCATAAGCCTATGGTCATGATAATGGTAACGGAAGGAGCAAGAAAATTCTGCTTACTCCTGCTCGTCGTCCCACCCTTCCAGCTCGGCCTTCTCCAGCTCGGCCATCATGGCGGGCTCGAAGACCGTCTCCTCCCTGCCGGGCACGCTGGTCTTGCTCTCGCGGAAGACGGGGCCGATGCAGTCGCGCCAGCGCTTGCGGCGGTCCATCAGGGTGCGGGCAACGTCGCCGATGGCGGGGCGGCCGACGCCGGCGGCGCTGGCGACGTGGCCCCCCGCGCCGGCCCCGCCGGCCCCGCCGCCGCCGGGCCGGTGCTTGGCCTGGGAGCCCTTCTTGCTCTTGCCCAGGGTGCGGGTGCGCTTGAGGTAGGCCTGCTGGACCTGGGAGTCGAGGTCGTCGTGGATGGTCATGTACTCCTGGTGGGCCATGCGCTCGCGAGCGATGTCGAGGAGGCGGGTCTTGCGGGCGCTGTTGATGATCATCTGCTTCTTGAGCTCGCTCTGCAGCAGGCGCAGCCGCTGCGCGATGTCGTCGTCGTAGTGCGCGTCGTAGTCCGGGTTGTCCTCAGCCCCCAGGAACCCCACGTGCCGGAGCTCCGCCTTCAGGCGCTCGTCCAGCTGGGCGTGGTCGAGCTTGGCGGCGGGGGTCTTGAAGCCGTTGGGCGAGGCGTCCGGGAAGGCCGTGGCGGAGGCGAGGGGCTTGTTGTTGGCGTCGGCGTCGGCGGGGGCGCTGCTGCCGCTGCCGTTGGGGAGCGGCGGAGGCAGGGACGGATGGTCGAGGTCCATGGAGTCGCCGAAGCCGTTGAGGCCGTTCGTGGTCGTCGTGCCGTCCCCGTTGGTGGTGGTGGTGTCGTCGGGACTGGAGCGGTGCTCGTAGCGGAGGAGGGAGTAGAGGCGGCTGACGAGGGGGCCGACGGACACTTTGTCGGTCTCGACCGTCTCATCCGTGACCTGGTCGATGTTGCCGCGGCCTTGGTTCAGCGGGAGACGCTCTTTGTCGCCGTTCGCTTGATCGCTGTTTCCGAGCCCGTCTTCTTCCGCCCACGTCTCCGCGTAGTGTTTCTTGCCGCGTCGGGGCATGATGAACGGGCTTGCTCGGTCGCCCTGGGGTTTGTTAGTTAGGGTGTCAATGACGCTGGGCGAGAGCGGAGAGGTACCTTTTCCTTGAGAAATGCCATATCCTCTTCTGTCATCGGGCGGACGTAGGGGTCCACGTACGCGAGGAATGTATTGGCGCTGACTTGGTTCGTGGGCTTGGAGTTGCTGAAGTCGCGGTCGGGCGGTACCCCCGCCATCATGTGGCTCAGATCGCTGCGAGGGAAGCGGTTGACGCTGTAGATAAATTTCTTCTCCTCATCGGTCATATCCGGCGTGACCTCGCGAATGTGATAAATGGTCGGGTCATCGAATTTCAGTGGGTTGGGGCCGAACACCTGCACCTGAGGCACGGCCGGGGCGGGCTCGGGCTGGTGCGAGCTGGAGCTGTCGTCTGAATCCTCATCGGAACCTTCGCCTTGGGATCCCTTGGCGGCCTCAGCGGCCTCACGGGGGGATTTGGGCGAGAGGGAGGCATCGTCGGAGGCGGCGTTTTTGGACTTTTTGGAAGCTGGGGATGCGGCTGGTCAGGTCAGTGATGATGCTCGTAGCGACAGGAATGAGGGGGAGGGGGAAAGGCGAAAGGACTGCAAAGACTCACCTCCTTCGACTTTGGTCTCCGCGCCATCCTGTCGCGCCAGGCCATGCGCTCCATGGGCTAGAGGTCGATCCTCCTTGGAGCTGCTGCCTCGTTCCTTTCTCTTCTTGAGCTTGCCGCCCTTGAACACCTTCTCTTCATCCTCTTCGTCGGCTTCGCGCTTCATCTTCAGTCGGTCGCTGCCGCCGCCCTCGCGATCGCCCAACTCGGGCTCATCCGCCACTTCCTTGCGCTTCTGCGATAGCTCCCGGATGCCGGCATTGCACACGTCTCCGCGGGTCTCGGCCAGCTGACTGAGCGTCTTGAGGTGTTCCATCAACATTTCCAGCGACTTGGAATCGGGGATCGGCCCCACCCCGCCCATGCGTTCCAACAGCTCTCCATATTGTATCGAGGCGTTCATCATCAGCTTCGAGGCATCGTTGTCGAGGTAACTGTAGACGGGGCCGCCGGCGGTCGGGCCAGCACTGAAACTGGAGCTGGGGGTGGTGTTGCGACTGCGCGAGGGGCGCACCTCGCGATCACGCTCACGGTCCCGGTCGCGGTCCCGGTCGCGACCTTTGCCCTTGCCTTTGTTGGCGGCGGGCATATTCGGATGGTGAGGTTATGGAGGTCGGTAGTGGAAAGCTGGGGTAGATGAGATGAGAACTGTCCGAGATCGGCGGGCTAGTGGTCCATAATGTTCCACTCGGGGTGTTGAAGCGTCGTTGTGTAGACGCTTGAGTTGGAGGGCTAACCGATCAGTTTTGGCGATTGTTCGATTCTGTTGGCGAGGTGGGCTTGGTCTGTTGTGCCTGTGCCAGTCCCAGTTATCTGCCTGTTCCATCGTTCCTGGGGAAAGTGACAGCACGTGAGGGGAAGCAGCATGTGAGATCACGTGCTGTGACTTAGTCAGAAGTGGTGTTCTCACGTGACTGGGAAGATGATCTCGACTTTCCTCTTTAGGACTAGTTGTCTATCAGTGCTACTCCGTCCCTTAGATTAATTTTGATAGGCAACTGGAACTTGAGCTTGTTATTCACAAACTGTGTTTATATGTCACTATACTATCACCGTACTATAAGAATTTGGACAGGACAATTGTCAGTAGAAATGTGGCGCTCACCGGGTTGCAGGCTAAGTTGGCTCTTGCAAGAGTGGATGCAAATCCCTCCATCCGTACTTCGAACGCAAGAAGACCAGCATTGAGCTCTTCTGCTTTGGTATGGGAAGACCAAATAGTACCCTATGGTACATGCCGAAAAGACTCCCGAGTCCCAATCCAATTGTCAGAACAGGCAATAAGCATGTTTCTTGCTCTTGCATGGTTTGCATGCTTTGCCTACCTGTACACCGCTCTACACCGCAGACCACAACCGTGGAGTCAACACCAATCCATCGTCAATCAATCTATCCATGATGTAGCCGCAAAGTTGCCAGCAAAGATCCTTAAAATCTATTGATGCTTGCATCGTGCAGAGAATGAGTCTCGCCCCCAATGCGACAGTGGTCTGCATCATATTTCGGAGCCAGTCAGCCGCAGTCTCCCGCAAACGTCTGCTGCAAACAGGACCGATCGGCACCCAGGTCACCCAAACAACCGCAATGAACATAAACACGCAGACCTGAGGAGCTGAGACAGCCCAAGACCCTCGGAGCCCTGCATGAACTGCCCCTGCAGCTCTGCAGCTCAATGTCCGATGCAGTAGATTCAGCAGCAGCATTGCGATCCTGTCACTGACGGGCAAATCCGACCCATTTCCCTTAGTTGCCCTACTGTCAGCATTCCTCCTGGCTATCGGCCTGGACACTGCTTGCATTCTTCCTCGTTCAGTGGCCAACATGGATACGAATCTCTTACGCCCCGCCTAGCCAAACCCGGCACACTCTGTTGGCTGTGCTGGTTGTCTTTTAAGTCGCTGGCTCTCCCCTTCGAGTGGGCGGTAGGCCCCCATGCGATCGCCTTCATCATGAGTAAGTGTCTCAGCACCGGAGAAAGGTATGATTCCTAAGTAAGGGCTGCGGCTAATTCACTTGCCCATAGCTGCCAAATCACTTACCACGTTCACGGAGGTCTTCTTTGCCAATCCGGGGCAAGCAACTAACGCAACACCGTCAGTGAATGTAGGTTTCCTGTCCGAGTTCCGAGAAGACAGGGGAGGGAAGACTGACGAACGTCGACATGCTCGCAGAATAGCGCCGCGTTCTCCTTGAAGCTCGATCATACCGTACAGACACTGTCAAGAAAAGGCGCCCCTGGCAGAGGCCCAATCGAAGGATTTCTCTTCGTCCCCAGCCTCGATGCTGCCGACGCGTGCAACAATGCCACTGCTGCATACGTTCCTGCCAACGTGACTCGCCTCGACGATATCACCCCGCTCGGGAACCGCAAAATCGGCCTGGCGCCCTGGATCAGTGTTGACTGCACGCGAGCGTTCCTCAATGCTTCACAAGACGCTGGAACTGATGCGCTTGTATTTTTCCAGCCCGATAGCAATGATTCCCAACCACCGCCGGCAAGAGATCCAACATGGTCCTTAGGGGATGAGGACGACTGGAAGAGCACAAACAAGTATCCGGTGTATGCGATACCCGGGCCGGCGGGTGTCACCCTGATGGAGAGGCTATCGTTGTACGGAACTGTGAACGACCCTGACGGTGGGTTTCAGTCCGATTACCAGTTGATTTCCGTGATTGATATAGGTGAGTCGTCCCTGCTGGGCGGTCTCGGGTAATTGGTCCTAATAACAAAAACCAGAAAGCACCAGCCAAACCATGCCTAGTCTCTGGGGCTTCATTCTAGCTATCTTGGGAACGATCCTTGTATTGAGTGTGGTTCTGCTCGTGTTCTATCAGCTCGTACAGAGGCGGCATCGACAGACCCTTCAACGGCGCATGGAGAGCGGGGACATAGATCCGGAGCATCTGGGGATGCATCAGCTACGGGTCCCACCGGATTATTTGGATACAATGCCAGTATATGTCTATGGAATCGAGACCAACGCTGATCACGACCACGGATCCGAGGAACGGCCTGCTAAAGATACAGCCCATTCGCATGCTCATCCCACCTCAATGGGATCTGCAGAAACGATCGTCGCCAACGTCAAAGCTGACCACCGTGACACTCCACCCCGATTCTCCTCAGAAACAATCATACCCAGGCCAGAAGCCGCCCGGTTGAAGGAAGTCGAAGGCAGAGCCGCATCCATTTACTCCTCCCGAAGCGGGAGCGGCACTTACTCCCCCCCGCGAGCAAATGACAGGTGGCAGAAACATCGACTAAGCCGATCACAGACGACCTGCGCGATCTGTCTGGACGACTATGTGTCGGGGGAGTCCACCGTGCGAGAACTACCGTGCGGACATATCTTCCACCCGGACTGCATCGACACTGCATTGACCCAGTCCAGCAGTCTGTGTCCACTGTGCAAGAAGAGTGTACTGCCAGTTGAGCGCTTTCCTGCGCCAGATATTCTGATGCAGATGGCGGGGAATTGAGAGGCGAAGTACATCAAGAACCTTCCTCCAGTGTGCTATCATCGCCACAGTTCTTATTACAAAAACCTGGGACTCAAATAAGTGCTCTGGCACCAGCTTCGCTCGGTGAATTCTAGAACAACATTCAGCATACCTTCGGCTATCAGTGGATCACCTCGCATGGAATTGATGGCACTGAAACTTGCATACGAAAACCTGGTATCGTCTGTTTCAATTGCCTACGAGTGCAATCCGCAAGTTAATCACCACACTCCCCGCGACGTGAAATACAGAGCTCTATGAACGAGAGACAAGACTGCGACGCGAAATGGACCAATAGCTCAACCTATGCTTTGGTTTCGGCAACAAGAACAACGGAGCCATGAAGTCTGAGGTAGTGGCTTCACTATACCCAAACTGTTTTTACCATCTTGATGTCTAACAGTATTCTCCACACGACATACGCATCGACCTCGTGAGGGGCATGTGCACCGTGAGTACGGAAATAACAGCTCAGATCTTTAACGAACACCAGTGGCGCGGCGGCTTCAACGTCCTGGGCCCAGGGTTGCTACGCCAACCTTGTCATCGAGTTTCCGCCCCGTTTAACAACCTAATCCAGATTATCCGTGGTCCAAGACTTGGAGTGGGACTCTCTGGAAACTTGGAGCTAGCTATAGTGGTGGTTGCAGGTCGCCGCAAGCGTACCCTTCCCGTGATTACTCCACTGGACTGGCTGAGTGGAGCATGGAGATGGGAACAGCTGGAGATTGTGAATCGGGGCGAAGATAATCTTGGGAGCGGGAGCAATGAAGGAAGGCTTGTGTTTGCGCATTGGATGCTCAAGAGGATGGATCGATGGACACATGGTGCGAACGGAGGCTATTTTCCAAAAGGCTGCAAGGCGTCGGAGTGCAGCCAAGTCTAAACACAATGCACCGCATCATGAAACATCCCTCATGCCCTGTTGTATGATTTGATTTGTAAGACCTCGAGGCATAGCAGAAACTAGGGGTACCCCTACCAGACATTACAACCAATACACACCCAATACTTTTCTCAACATATCAAGAACCCGCGAACCATCGTCTCAACTCCACACCACCTTCCAATGTAGACAGACATATGGGCCTAGCGATATTCATCTTCCCAAAGGGGGGCTTATCCCCCCCCTCTCCCGTCCTCATCATACACTCCATCATTTGACTCTCGGCGAGAAAGCAAGACCGCTGCACCCTCAAACGAATAGCATAGCCCCTCCCATTGCCGAGCAGATCCAACCGCGCCATTCCAACGACGTCCGAACCGCCACCCAAACAGCGCCTGGTTGCAAAACAGACCGCCCTGATTATGCTGGGTATCGAGAGCCGGGAAATGGAGATGGAGCCTGAGTCATGCGCCTCGTATAAGTACTAACCAGGCTCTGGGAAAGCTTTAAAAGCCCGACAAGACTTACACTGCGTCTCCTCTCTCTCCCCAAGCCCCTCCAGCAGACAGTTGGGGTTCTTGTTTGATTCTCTGCCCCCCCCGCCCCGCTGCATCTGGAATAGAACAAATTAGTAGTAAAGCAGTGAGTAAGGCCACATGTCTACGATCCTGGTGCGCTGGTGCTAGTGTGTCACACAGTGTCCACCGAAGCAGCGCACAAGGTATAGAAGATAGAAGAAGAACCAGAGGGAAGGGGGGGTTACCTTCGACAGCCAGGAAACACCCTCGTCTCGAACTGTGACACAGGCGAGTGTGCAGCAATTAACCTCACTCGTTGCATTGGAATACCTGAGACTTTGATGCGACTCAGGACATTGTGACAAGCCAGTCAATGAATGCGGCCAACTAACTCCTCGCTTTACTGTACAGTATCAGGAAGCTCTTATCTTATCACGAATAAGCATCTTCAGCCCTTGGTACTGCATGTAGGCTAGAGATTCCTGGCGTACAGCGAACCACTAATACTGTACGTTGACTCGTCACAATGAACTACGTCTGCACATCAACACCCATCACCTAATTACAACATCAGTCAATTTAAGTCTTCGAAGAATCATAGTCTAACCTGCGGAAAGAAAGCCCATTTCTTATCACCCTCCCCATACATGATGAATGCATCTCCCCTTGTACCCTGAGCCTAACTAGTCACAGAAACGAAAAGAGACGCCTCCACAAAGCATAAATCACACAGAATAGGAAATGAAAAGGGAAAAGCTTCCACGGAAAAAGACAACTTCCCTTGCAATCTGTCTGTTTTGTATCAAAGACAACTTGCATAAGCGTCTGAGAGCAGGAGAAGTTGACGTCGCAAGCCAAGGAAAGAACAGAAATAATACAATGAACGAGGAAACTGCCCCAAGCAGCATATCTTGACATCATGGTCTTATCCCCGGTCCAGAGAAGAATGTCAAGTCACTGTGCTGTCAGGTCATCAAGGCCGAGTCTATTATTAAGTATCCGCACTAACGATATGTCATGATTCTTTCTTTTGATCCGTTGCGCATGATTTCTATCTCTTGTAAAGTCGCGTCAGGAAACGAGTGTACGAGTGTAAAAGCAGGGGAATAGTACTGGCGAAAAGAAAAAGAAGTAGAAAAACTCGGAACGAGCATGTGGAGTCCAGGTTGTGTACATGACAACCCCGAATAGGTGGTCTCGAAGCAGAATTGCACATGTTGGGTCTCAAAGACCATGGTGAAATTCACAATATAATAGAGGTGGCAAATTGTTCTTCAATGTATTGCGACAAATCCACAATGTAGACTCATGAGAGTTGCGTTGCAATTTCAAGAATTGAGCGACAAGCCCTGGAATCGACTCATCCACTCATTTTGGGGATGCATACGGGAGGATCCAGCGCTTGCGCCAGTGCCTGCCGCGTAGTCGACATATCCCGAATCCAAGGGAGTATATCCGCTAGGTGAGTAAGGGGAGAAGGGATCCGGAGACGTGTGTCCCCCAAGGCCGGACTCTGGCGCCCGGGAGGACGGGCCGAGGGATTGATAGGGCTCGGCGTACGCACTGCGTAGCATGCCTAGCTGGCCATCTCGGCCAGCATCGTGGCCATCTCGGGCAGAGCCATACATTCTACCATCGTGCTGGTGCGAGCGATCTGTCTGCGTGTCATGACTGTAAGCCAAAGGGTTTGGGGCCTGAAGACCTGCACTTGGAGGCGTCACAAAAGAGGCAGGGTTGATGGCCGACATCCAGATCCGAGTTTTGTAGATCTTGAAGAGATCGGTCACCAGTGAGTTGAAGTTGATATAGGAATCGGCGAAGTAATAGAAGGTAAGCTTCTTCCAATCCCTACGAGAATTAGTATCAGGGGTACAGCGTTGGACAGGGTCGACTTACATCTGGAATTCAGCGTCCAAGATCTCCATGTTGAGCCGATGCTCTGCTACTTTCTGCTGACAGACGCGTTTGGCCTTGGCTTCGTTCCCTTCCTTGTCGCGCAGCGTCAAAATCTCATGGTTTTGGGCAAGCCTCTTGATCAACTTGGGTTTTATGTCGGCAGTGGAGTCTTGAATGCCATGCGAGCCATGAGGGCCCATTCCGCCGATGGCGCTTCTGTTGTTTAGGCCCGGCACACTTCCAGGGGCGTTGACCACATTTGCGGCACCGTTCTGGCCCTGTCGAGAAAACATCATCAACCACTTATAATGATCTTCCGCATACTGTTGCTTGAGCTCCCGGGCTTTCTGCATCGACACATTGGCATGTTGAATGGTGCCAAGATCCGTTCCACGATCAGCTTCGACGATGACGAGGTCGCCTGGTTTCACCTGAAGTCCGGTGTCTTCTTGAATATAAAAAACATCTGCCCGATGACACTTGAATGTGACGATATACAGAAGCTGATTTTGATGCGCGAGACCCGGCTGGTGGCGTCCATAGGCGTTCGGCATTGTGTATGCTTGATGAAGGGAAGTCGCCATGGAAGGACCCTCGGCACTGCGGAGGGCCTGGTCGCGAGCGAAATAGGATTCTGCAAATCGTCGAGCTCGTAAATACTCTGACTCCATTTCATGCTCCTCGAGGCGAGGGGCCGCATGAAAATGTGGATACTCACGGTTCTGGCCTTGCAAATTAGACAGAGGGCCATCAAAGTCCTCTTCCCGGTCTCCCAGTCCTGATCTTGTGCTCGCGGCTGCCTGTGGCTCGCCCGAGATGGAACCATGCCGAATGGGTATATCCGCAAATGAATGGCGTCGGCTCTGAGGGATCTCGGAAAAGCTACCAAATCCGAGGGAGGTCTGCCAATGAGCCTTGCGAACGTTCTCCAGAGCACGATTCTCGTAGTTGGGGAACTGTTTCTCCAAGTTGATCGAATGTTCGGACATTCTCCGGCGGGGACCGCCATGGAGGTTGTTGTAGCCAGGGATGTCCCCAACTTCGTCCAAATCCTCCACGGCAAGATCGGTCTCTTCCGGGACACTGCCGCGAATGCGATGCAAGTTGTGAAGACCGCTTCCGATCGCATAGCCACTAGCCGCGGATGTTGTGGACATGGCACGGTCTCTAAAAGAGTTGTCGATTTGGCCAGCGGCTTGACGCAAGAGAGCGTTCTCCCTCGCAAGCTGTTCGATTGTGCGGGCTTGGTTGGCGGCATAGTTGCTGAAACTACCATCCGAGCCATCCGGACTTCCAGTCTCGTCGTCTTCGTCTTCGCGCACACGTCCGAGAGTAGCAGGATCGTGGCCAAGCTCGCCAAGAAGGCTGGGACGAGACGACCGGTGTTGGAGGGAGGTGTATTGGCCGCCATTGCGGGCTCGTCCACCAGAGTAGGGAGAGGCCGACTTATTCGCCATGAGACTCAGGAATTCAGGATCTAACTGGCCGACGGAATAGGACTGTGAGCGGTAAGTCTTGGGAGTCGGATGGAGAGGAATCGAGAACGGAATTGCAGCCTCTCCAGCGGTTGTACGAGTAGGGCTCAGTAGCTCCTCCGTGAAGTAGTTACTGGCGGTGGATGGATTAGACATAGTCGGGGAAGGTATGATCTCGGTAAGGCGGGGCGGTGGCTCTTTTCGAGACTCGGTATTCCAGATACCAGTGCCCCAGGCAAAGGTACTATTCCCAACATTGTTCCAGCCCATGGAGCTACCAATCCCAGGACTCGTGCTGCTCGGCCATCCCGCTTGGTCGGTAGCTGGGCTGCTTGGGTTGGAGGCGCCAGAAGACAGAGGAAGGCCGGTCAGGGAGGCTTTCCGAGGAGCAATAGCAGGAACTTCATTCAGCCAAGAGGTACGACGAACAGGCTTC